CATAGAAGTAGCCTATCGGCTATAACTTATATAGGTATAAGCATTGATTAAATATTATATAATTGTATTTTTGATCGAATATCTACAATTTGTGTTTAATATCAAATCTCAATATCTGCAGTCCCTTTAGTTGTGTAGACGTGTAGTGTTTCATGCGCAGTTGACGAGTTCAAACCTTTAAAGTTTTAAACTAATATTTTATTAATGTGATTTGTCAGTCAGTTGTATAGTTACGAAGTAGTACTAGTAATAATGAAAAGAATAAGACTGAGTGGTTCGAAATATCAAAAAATAGCATTAGAAAAAAAGTTGAAAGAAGAAAAAGTTATTGCAAAAACGGCAAAATTAGATAGTTTTTTTAAAAAGGTAAATTTTTGAAATATTACATAAAATATGTCTTTGTATTACACTGTAGCCGACAAGTAGGATTTTAGTAAGTACATAACTTGACGTTACGTAAAATCATGTGGTATTTTATTTTATACAAATTATAAACCATCTTTGGTTGTTACGTTCGAATTTATTTAGAACATTTTTTTAAATATTCTATTAGATAGTAATGATATATTTTGTGATACAATTGAATATTTTTTGTTTAATTTTGGTTTTATTGAATTCAATTTTGTTGTTCGACGTCACAGTTTTATTATTTGGTTTTAGGATTCATATTCAAGTGTTCAAAACGACGAAGTTGTAGAAAAACTCAACAATAACGAACTTAATTCTAGTATTCTATCTATTATTGATTCATTAGCTGAAACTAATAATTTTGATGAACAAAAAAACAATGAAATTCCGTCTCCTAACTTATAACTTATTACCAGCTCTTCAAAAAATGTATCCATATCAAAACAAAAATTTCATAAATATGAAATGTAAAAATATTTTGATATAAATACTTAGATAATAAATAAATAAATACTTACATATTACTTCATGTTTTTTTATGGTTTTTTTGGTGGTGGTGGAAGGGGGGGGGGTGGCTGGAGGAGCGGCAAAAAATGTTTGCTCCATGGCGGCATTGGGCCTTAATCCAGCCCTGATAATGTAGGTACTTGGGCGGTGCCACGGCGTATAGCCTCGATTCGGCGCAGCAGATTTATAATAGTTATGCGATCGTCGACATAACATGCAAAGGCTAATGCTGTAGTAAATTTTTTTTTAGCTTTTTAACTTTCGTTAATCGTCTAATGAAAGTTAATATGGACTTGACTGACGATTGAACTAACTTAGCTTTTCTCAGTTGATTAGAAAATATCCATCGAAATGAACAATTTTGGAAATTTGCCGTTTTTATGGTTTTTGAAAACAAAAATTAAAATAATTCAATACTATTATATAATGATATAAACATGTCTGTTATCTTTCTTGGTAAAATAATTTTATATATAGCTGATATATCTTAGTAGATTAGATAGGCATAATATTATATGACCTTAAATTGATACCTATATAATATTTGATACAAAAAATATTGTTAAATTATTAATTGAGATGATTTTAAATATTTAATAATCGTGTTAAGTGAAATAGGCATATTAATATATTATACACTGTACGTTACGATAAAAGTTCAATAAAATTGTTTATTATAATTTAGGAAATCAGAAAGACCGCAGTCGCTCTTTGTGTGATCCACATACTAATATTAAAAAGGCTAACTTTTTTTAAGCTGAGTCAAGCTAATATTATTTTCTATATAATTGACTTTTAACTTATCGAATTCAATTTATGATTTGTTTAACTGTTAACTTCATACTTACTTTCGATATTGTGTTCTCTTAACTTAACTTAAGGTACTTAATTATTTTCATTAACTTGCTCACCATTGAATGCGGATGTTTTGTCTTTACTCCATCCGGTGGTGAATTAATATTCGCGAAATCGGTTTACGCGTCCGTCGTCGGGGAGCATACAATAATTTTAAGGCAGAACAACGTCATCGGCACTCGGCAGTATTATGTACTAATATAACAACTTCATTTAAGGAGTGTACTTATATATATTACCTACTATTACAATTATAACGTGGTCTATTGTTTGCCAACGCCAGGTCTAATAATATTTAAGACCACTACGTTGAAATCGCTTTGACTTATGATATATTATTATATTTGTAGGTACCTACATGTAAGGGTAAGTTTTTTATTTACCCTTATTTTGATGAAATTAATTTCCATGCACCTTCCTAAGCAAGTTCGTGTAAAATAGTATTATGCTCTTCGTTGCAGCCCGTCAAGTACCTATTTTCTCGTATTTGTATTATTGTCTAATATTGTAGCTTAGGTAAATACAATTTGAAAAATTATAGACTTTTTCCAAAACCTACAAAGCCAGTAAGTAATAGTAGGCAAGTAAAATTGCTAAAAAAATTTAGCCTGTTCAAGGCAAACCATTTACAACGAGTTATGTCAGATGTATAGGTAGTATAAGGGGAACGCAAGTTTGGATTTGTAAGACGTGAATAATATAATATAATATGTTAAGTCGAAAAGCCTAGCCACCTCAAAAAGTACTATTTTCTCTGAAATATCACTGTCGTCGCGTGCATAATGTGTAAGAGTATAGTATGTACTATTTTATCGTATATTTGGGAACCACTGATTTGGACGCGACCGGTCGTACCGGCGTGTATCGTTACAACAAAAACAACAACAACGGCAACAACAATAAGTAAGTATATAATAATATAAACGCATATAAAATATTATATACATACATACGAGAACGAGACGGTCGGTAGGACCGGAGGAGAGGTGTTGAATATTACGAGGTGTTGGGTGCCTGTCAAACGTACAACACACTTAATGTCTTCACACCGGCGGCGGCGGCCGAGACTAATTGTAAAAGATGTCTTCATCGTCGCACCGCGGAAAACGTACGTACACACACAGATGTCAGAATAAAGTGGCTTTACACGTTATGTTGTTATTATATTATTATTATTATATACGAACCTCTTCTTCTGTTGCTGCAGTGTAGTGTGTACACCTGTGCTCGCGAGTCGTCGCACATATATATATATATATATATATATACGGCTCAACGTATATAATATATGACTGTGGATCGAGTCTGCTGTACGCGTTATTCTCGCATTTTTTTTCCGTCGGAAACGATATAATTATTATTAAATTATTATCGCATCGAGGCGGTCCTCCTCCGGTGCACTGTGTACCGGCGCGGTGTATTGTGTATACCGGCGCGGTAACGAAATGGAGGGGAAAAAAAAACGTTTTTATGCGTCCATAAAAAAAATAAATGAAATAATAATATAAATGATAATAATTCAACTTTTTTTTTTATTATTATGATTATTATTTCGTTTTATAATACAATCGTATACGTAATATTATAATAAAAACCTTAACGTAAAAACGCGTTTATACAAGTCATTCCGGAATAAAGGGATCGATGCACGTAAAAGTATAATATATAGGTATACACGAGAGTACGGTATGAACGGTAGCGATCAAAAACGATAAGTTTTATTTTTTCTCTCTTCCGTTCGTACAGTATCTCTTTTACTCTGCACACAGCGACAACGTGGCCAAGGGCCAAGGGTCTGTCTACGACAAGTGGACGAAAACCACGAGGAATAATATAATATTCTATACACAATAATAATTATAATATAATATAATAACATGATATTATAGAATATGTTTGTTCGGACTTGTACACAAAACCATATAATAAACTCACTCATTGCACTCGCGTGTTTAAATTTAGAGATAATATTATTAGGTATGCGCCAACGGAAAATTAAATGGATATACATATTATTTCGTCCACGGTGTATACAATATAATAATATAGTAATCGCTATTATAAACGTGTCTTAACTAAATTACTTACAATTTCATAGTAATAATAATAATAATAATAATATACATACGACAATTATTATTATACAATGTGTTAACTTACAACATAAACATATATAATAAATATTATTGACTAGATTTTTGTTATACTTACTAATGGGCTGTTTATAACGGACGGGGGTTAATATATATAGATCTGTACAGAGAACAGTAAATAAATAATATGACGTTTTACAATATAATAATGTATATGATATTATTAACACACGCGGGTTCCAAAGTAATTGCTCAAATTGCGTCATCAATATATATAGGTACTATAATAAGGACGGGGTTGCCTGCTCGCTCTGTCATCAAATCGCAGACAGGTGGAAAATAATAATTGTATAACAAATAATAATAAATAATAAAAAACAAGTGATTAACAAGAGTCAAAAATTGCGTGTTTGTCGTCGGATCGATTCTCTGTTGCATTTATTCATACAACACACGTATTAGGTAGGTACCTATCCACAGTAATATGAATATAAAATACTATACTATAATGCTGCACAAAAACAATTCAGGCTCGATTGAAAAGTTTCGAGAATAAAAAAACGTTAACTCAAATTGAATATCGTAACGCTTATTATAAATTATTATGTTTTATGTATACGACGATCTATTGTTCGCCTGCAGCAGAGTGGTATGATATATTGTATTATACGATATACCTAATACGATTTACACTGCTGCTGCAGTCTCCTTTTGTAAGAAAGGAAAGAAACGTGAAAAGTAATTTTTACAGATAAATTATTATATAAAATTAAAGGCCATCGGATCTTCGATAAAATTAAATATCTAAAACATTAAATGTAAATTTTACAGTCGAGTCTCGATAACTCAAAACTCGAAAACCTCGATACCTAAAATTTGTTTTCTTGCCCCTCGTGGGGTTTTTAAGTTGTGTTTGCGGTACTTATATAAGTACAACTCATATAACAACATAATATTAAGTCAAATTTATTGTTATTCACTTTGAGATTCGAGTTATCGGGACTCGACTGTATATATAATATCATATTATTACGTCATATAGGAACCTGCGATGATGATAACGATGGTGACGAACGACGACGCTTATGCAAACCGACGACGGTGGGAATGTGTGTGATGAAGTACGCGGGAGGGTGTTCACACTTTGTTGTTGTTGTTGTTGTTGTTGATGTTATTGTTGTTGATATTATTGATGTTGTTGACGTGGGCGGCGGTGATGCTGAACGGTCGATTGCCGCCGGCCAGAAGGGATTCGATGCTGAACGGGTTCAGACGGCGGGCCTTGTCCGCGGTGGCTGTCGACGACGTGGTCAGGTTCAACAGCGGTGGAGGCGGAGACGATTCGCCGTCGGCGGCCGGTGGCCGCCGGTACAAACGCCCGCCGCCGTATTCGTCGTCCGAACTACAGCTGTCGTTTCCCCGGCAAGCGGCCGCCACGGCGGCCACCGCCGCCGCCGCAGCCGCAGCCGCGCGCGCGTACGGCGGCAGTCCCTCGTCCTCGTCCTCGTCCAAATCGTCGTCGTCGTCGTCATCGTCGAACGTCGTACTCGCACTCCGCCTGTGGTGCAACATCCTGTGGTGGTGTTGGTGTGGGTGTTGGTGGTGGTGGTGGTGGTGCAGGAGGTGGTCCTCTTCGCCGACCACGTCGATCTCCTCGTCCCGGCTCGTCTGTCCGCTGCAACAGCTTGACGAGTCGTGAAACGACAGATCCATACCGGCGTTCGACGATCCACCGACTCCGTCCATTCCTCCGCCGACCACTCCGCAATCCATCTGGCCGTGTTTTTTAGCAGCATCTATAAGGACAAACAAAATATGTCAAACTTTCAAACTATAAATAATTCGACTTCGCGTTGTAATTCGTACATCCTAACCACCAGATATTAGGTATTACGATTTGTTGTGGTTGTAACCGCCCATATTATTATGTTACCTATATACTATATATAATATTATATACCTAACACGATCGACCAAAAATTTGAAGTTGAGTACTGTAATTTTCTATATGAGCATTATACATTATACATTATATTATATAGTATAGTATAGTGTGCCTAGTTCGAAACGAATAAAAAATTTATATTAAACTTGCGTAAGTCTTAAGGTATTACTCGGAAGAAGTTTGATGAAAAAGAAAAATCGTTACAAGTACATTTACCGTGAAATTATCATAATATATCACTGTGGGACAACGATTTTTTCAAAAACAAAGAATTATGATTGAAAAAAATACATAGTTTAATGAAATGTACCAAAATGGTTTTTATCATATTAGCATAATTTATTGTGTGCATATTGAAAATCGAATACCAAATACACACACACGGTCATAACTATGCCTATTAATTCTATTTGTATAGATTGATAATAATAATATAGGGACTTATAATATCATGCTCCGCGAGCCGGATATACCGTCTCGGTTTAACTTAATGTTATTAGGTATAATATACCTGTAACCTATAATATATACCTATATATTATATATTATCTATAGAACCGGACAATTCCATTGGCTATACATATATGGGTATGGCGCACACCTTTTAAAGAGCATTTAACGAGGTCGTTTTGATTGGTTTTTCGTTTGGAACGAGTATCGCACAGTGCCATGAGAACATATTTTTCAATAACCGTATCGAAACACATATTGTACCATGCGGTAATCGTTAACAGTATACTGTCGACTGCAGGAATTCAAGATTTGAATTAGACGTCGAAACAGTCAAATTGTTTTTTTTTTTTTTTATCTGAACGATTCAAAGCCAGTATTAAAATAATAAATTATAAAATTATACGCCGATATAGAACCAGATGTCGTACATTGTACAACGACCCTATTATGCGTTAAGTTATAAAAAATAAATCCTTTTATATATTATTGTGTACCATACAGGGCCTCCACAAGGGGGGGGGATGTCGGGGCCAGTGGAGATGAATTTGTAATTTTTGAAATTTTGATACTCATACGAAATACGAATACTTATATTCTATTCAATAATATTTTATGATATTAATGTATATTATATTATGTTGTTTCGTTATTTTAAGCTATGTGTTAACCATAGAAATTGTGTATGGGATAACCGTTTGATTATAATGGGTTGTATTTTATTGGTAGCTTTTTGTAGGACCCACGCCAAAACATACAGTAAAGGGGCCCTATTATATTTGATGTACCCCCCACCCACCCCGGTGATGGCTGTGTAGTGTGTACTGCATACGACGTATTATTTTCTAGATTGCATAACGATAATTACAAGAAAAGTATAAAATATAATATAATATAGAGGGTATTAAACCTATTTAAAAACTCCTAATAAGAAATTCGACACAGCGAAATCAGGTACAGACGTACTTACAGTGATCGGATGGTTATATTATTATTGTACCTACGTATCGCAGTCGTTATAATATACAGCGTGATCTAACTGGAAGATCTGAAAAGCGATATAGCTTTTGTTCTAATTCATTTTTTTTAATATTATTTACAGACGCTTGCGCGTATAACATTTTTTTTTTTTTTTTTAATACTGAAAATAAAAAATCTGATTTAAATTTTTTTTGAAAATTTGAAAATATCCAATTTGTAAATCAGGTATCTAGAAATATTTTGATTGTAAAAATATTTATTTAAGTCTTGTAGTTTATTTTTTTTTCATTTTTTTAAAATCTCATTATATTTAATAAGTAGAGTTGAAGTTTTTTAAGAAGTTATAAATATTGATTAGAACTAAAGTTATTTAATTTGTCAGGTCTTTCGGTTACACCCTGCAGTATATAATATTTTATATATTATTATGTATTTATGTTATATAATATATGGAAAGCACCACTCACTGTTAGCTTGCTGAGACTCCCATTCCTTTCGCAGCGTGTCCAAGTCAACGTGCACTCCTTTGGCAGCCAACTTCCTCTGTTGTCGTTCCAAGCTCTTGAGCAACTTTTTCTGCCGTCGTTCGCGCTCCTTACGCCGTAACTCGTCCGCAGGTATTGGCTCTCCGGAACAAGTCACCGGATGTGCGTTGTGGGCAGGTCGACCCGGACCCTTTTTGGTGTGTTCCTTTTTCCTCCATTTCGCTCGACGGTTTTGAAACCATACCTGTAAAATCAAACTCGTTATATACTGCAAGTTTATAATACTAGCTTATAATACTGCATATTTATACCTAACCTATTACCTATTTTGGCAAAACAAATTAACACCGGGAACGCTGTCGACGCCTGTCGTGGGTTTCCGCGAGTTCCCCCCTACGTGGAGTCGGGATACTATTAGCTATTGTATGTATTTTCCCGACGTTTAGTATATATACGTTTTGCTTTAATAGTGGAGTGTATTTGATAATATTAGTAGAAATTGTGGTAATTATACAGTCATATACCAGCGTATAATGTTTCAATAACAAAATTATTTATTAGAAAAAGTGAAATAACCAATATAAAACTATATATCCCGAATCGGAAGCGCCGTTATATTTATTTGTTTTCCCAATACATATACTGTTGCAGTTGTATTATAACAATATAAGGTGTTATATAATATAATAAATAATCAACAAAATAATAATATTTACCCTTTTGCGAAATGATAAAACGGATTAGGATCGAATAAATATACATATTTCGGTACCTACACCAACGATGCAGATAACAAAAGCATATGAAATCCTATGCCTTACTATATAATATAATAGATTTATATTGGCCGACACGTGCTCTTATCAATTTACCATATTATATACGGGAGAAAAGCGCCCCAGAACAAATCGCCTTTAAATTCCATAATAATTCGTATAATATATATATATATATATATATATTAAGAAGGCATAGGCACTATGTGTATATAAATAGGTATATATAATATACGCTTGCACTAAAGTTTATCGTCTATTTCTCGCCTCCGGCATTCGCGGTCTCGAAACCAGAACGTATTACACCCCAGGGACGTGTTCTGACTGTATGCTCGGGACTGCAACATGGTGGCGTAGATTATTTAACCATACACAGAACCGTTTGTATATGCTCTTTCCACCCCTCACGATAAAAAAAAACGACTAACAAAGACCAACCCCTAGCCGGCTGAAACAAGCATCGGGAATGAGGTTCTAAATCAAAATATTGAGCGAGAAAGGGTGGATGCTCCAGGGAACTTATATATGAAAGATAAAAAAAAAATGCGAATTCCTCGCGTGGGTACAATAACTCTGCAGTGCACTATATGTATAAAATAATATATATAATGTATTATACTTACAGCCACTCTGGACTCCTTGAGGTCCAACCGCAGGGCTAAAGCCTCCCTCATGAACACGTCGGGGTAGTGGCTGGCCAAAAACGCCCGTTCCAGCTCTTCCAGCTGCCACGTGTTGAAGTTTGTTCTGGACCTTCGCCGTTTGTTGGCCAAGTCTTCCGAACTACCTGCTGCGCTGTCTCCGTCCACTCCACCTACACAAACGTCATCGTATGTTTTAGTATAATATGAAAAGTTAAAATATTTTAAAATTTCTATTTTTATGAACATGGACAACTTAATAGTAAAATAAATTTTATCAGAGAGCTCACGAATTATAGATACTATATGACGGGTTTTCTTTAATTAAATGTTGCCTATTCAATTAGTCGTGCATTTTACAATAATATACTCTTCATTATTTTAAGGATTTGTGCATTGGTATTATGAATTTCTCTACACATGTAATTTGGTACTTATTATACTATAGGTATTTCATGTCTATCTATTTTATTGAGTATACCAATAATTCATGCATGATATACGTTTCGCACGAGTAATCGAGTAAATTTTCATTGATATTGAATATTATTTTTGATGATTGAAAATTATAAATTATACGTATACCTAGTATAGGTAACTACACAGTGCGGTAGATATGGAAACTATATTATAAATTCGTTATACTGAATTCTCAAAAACTTCGAATATTATATGCTCATCGGTTGCAGGTATGCAGTCAAAAACTAAATGTATTCATGGGTTATTGACACACTGTACGAAATACATTTAATAAACCAATATCAATGTCACCAAAAATATAATTCAAAAGAAAATTATTCATGCAAATTGTATAATAAAATCTATCATAGGTAGCCTATGATAGTATAACCTATGCGTATGGTACTCGCAGCGTGCACAAGTACCTATATAGCTTGTAGGTAGATGTTGTAAAATACTTTAAACCCTCAGGGTTTAGATTATTAGAGAATATTTTTTTCACATTCCGGGTGATTTGAACTATTTCGGAAACAGATTTACGCCACAGGGGAACGGTTGTATTTTCGATTACCGAAAAGTTGAAAATTGGCTTTTCCGGAGCCGGGGTAAAAAGTTTGATACACCGTAGGGCGTTAAAAACACACTTTCAAAAGTTCTCGAATTGAAACATAAGTTTACAACAGGCGTATTGTTTACCAACCGAAAAACTGTAGATAAAAACTAATAATATACTATATCTATATTTCCCCCTCGCTGATCAATAGTACCAACGAGAACCAGTGATGTTGTATACAGCTATAATAGTATATATATTATATTATGCAAGCCCGGGGGAAGAAAACCGCATATCGAGTTAAAACAATTTCGCAATCGCGTTATAAATCATGTCCCCACGACATATGGCAATATTGGCCTGTACAAGAGAGAAACCGTTTCCACGAGGATTTTTATCTCGCAGCGTGCATGCACTTCAGACGGTCGTAAATCATAAATAAGAATATGGAAAAACATAAAGACGAGACTAGATAATAGAATCGGGAGCGTGGAATCAGTTTTCTGGCGGTCCAAGAGGTGGCGGCAAGTGGGAGAAAATTAATTTTCGCCAAAACGGAGAGCTGGTCCAAGAGGGGTCCCGGAGAGGAAAAAAAATATTTGTATAATAACCGAACCATAACCGAACGAATTGTTTTCATGTTACCCCGGTTACCATGATGTTGCAGAGACCGCCATTATGGCGACAGCGAAATCGCGTTAAATTTTATGAATCGTATAGTTAAAGATGCCGCACGTACAGTGATTTTCGCTCCCAGAATAAATCTCAAATAAAGTTGTAATTGAAATCTGGTCCATCGACACGCTTAACTTTAAAAACTTGTGACACTTTTATATAGTACTAAATACTTATCATAAAGTCGTAAAACATTCAACTTGGAGGTGGGTAAATAATAATATAATCCTTAAAGAAATTCAATAGTCGAATTCATAATTATAATTATTATAATAATATGGCGTTTTTACTGTCATTAAGTTTATAGGAACATAAATATTTTTGTACAGTCTCGTAAGGCTGTGTATAGTAATAAACATAATATTATATAGACCAGAATCGGTTGTATAATACGAATGTCAGATTTGAAATGAAAAAAATGTCAGATTATATTCTTAGCGCACAGTTGTCAAAAATGAAAAATGTCGATATCGGGAAAACTTGTGTACCTATATACATGTAATTGTTTTAAAAACAAAATCTATACAAATATAGAATTTATATACTATAAGTACATACATCGTACATCGGTACTTGACCGTGTGTATCTATATATTATTATATACAGTTGACCAATGAAACGTCTCGTCTTAAGTGGAAGCAAATATAATGACGACGATGTGTATGTGTATACAGGGCAGCTGTCACACGTTATATTATATTATATTTATTTATTATTATTTTTTTATTCACTCGATCGGAGGGGAACGAGGGGGACGTGTAACGCGATACGCGTTTCGGGTGGACCGTGTCAAACGGATAACAATTCGTTAAAATTGAATTAACGCGTCCGCCGACGACGACGACGACGACGACGACGGAGACTTAGACTCTCACGATAGGCGCTCCGACAAACCTTTCTCTATTGCCGCCGAAATGGCATCTCTAAAACATGTCGTACAACACACATATATTACTACTATTATTATTATGTTATGAGACGTTACAGCAGGCGACAATGACGATAATATGACAATGGTAATAGAAATAATGGCGACAAATAATGATGATAAAAAAAAAAAAAAAAACGGTTTCACGATGTGCAAAACACACGTCGGGCAGCGGCGACACTAAAATCTAGAACGTTCGATTTTTATTATCATATATATTATATCGTTGGTACACATAATATAATATTATATATACACCGACGACGGCACAATACGCGTCTGAGTATGTTATTTATACAAGTATACAACACTGGTTATAACTATCGTTATGTATATATATATATGTGTAATATTATATTATATTAGCGGTAAGTCGTAGCGCCGCGAACGGCCTGTAACTATATATTATATTATGTAGGTATAGCGATAATAATAATAAGGCGCCATCCTCGTCAGACGTGAGCAATCGGCTAGACGTGTAGAGAATTTTAAATTTGGTAATTGTATGTAGGTATACATAGTATATGTTTAGGGTTTCGACGGTATAATAGGCACAATACATATCATAGACAGTTTCCTAAATATTATTATGATACACATTTAAAACGATTTCGTATTTTATTATTAATTATTTTTATTGTTATTATAATAATATGTGTTGTAGGTACTAAAAAAGATTGCCACGATATTAAAATGTTACTGTCTGCAGTATAATATGGTACGTCCTATATAGGCAACTGTTTGTGCTGCAGGTGCATCATACACTGATTCGAGATTTTTAAAGTTTTTATAATGCTGGGGACCATTGCACTGGTAAAGCGAGGTTTTCGTTGTGGTAAAACCATTATTGCACCTTAAACGGATCGTCTTGGCTATCATCCGACCGGTACGTCGTGCGATATTCTGGAAGTTCGAGCTCGTAATAAATTTCGGATTCTGAACAGCTTTCGAGCGTCGATGTTTGGCAAGTTTGCCAACATCTATATATACATATATGGGCCACTGGCGCGGGATAGATAAAGTTAGTTCACGGGCTTCCATTACGCTGAGGAGGTTTTTGATTAAACAAAGTTCATTTGATAGATGACGATGGCACGCGGGTATATGATACTGCACGAGTCCAATTAAATGTGAACCTTGACGACATATACCTACATCACTGAAAATCGGCTCTTATGTGCTCAAAATACTAAATCCACTGCGGAATTACCTTATAGAAATTAAAGCGAACGAGCACCCGCTCGGATATAGACACTAATATTTAGGGCACGCTTTTTATTTTTTTTTTTATTCGTGAAATAAACTTGTCATAAAAAAATTTACAAAAAAACCACAATGAAATAAGTCATATAGAACATATTATTATAGTATATATAGTATATACGCTACGTATTCGTTTTCATGTGATTAATTGAAGAATATCAAGGCAAGTCTATAGGAATATTATATTATATGATATGAATTTTCGAAATAAATTGTCGTGTTCGATAATATTACTTTCGGTGTATTTACGGGGGCGTGTAAAGTATTTCATAATTTTATTTTTATTACGCCCGTTGTATGTATATTATGTACCTATATAATAATATAGGAAACAGGTTCTTGTAAACTCCCAAAATATATAACTGTCCCGAAGTCGATAAACCGGTAGCGATATTATTATTTAAACACGAATATCTTTTATTTTATTGTCAATAAAATTCACTTGCCACATTTTATAATTCAAACAAATCTACTTCGAATCTTTATGAATAAAAATTAAATTATATAGGTACATCGTACATAATAATATATAGGTGTATACGGGAAATTGTGATAAAATAAAACTATACGCGTTGCCCTATCTGTATACCTACATATAGATTATAATATTATAGTAAATACTAAGTACACATTGTTATACAAGTTATAATATCTACGTACATTATTCTTACTATAAGTGTTTTTCTAAGATAGGTATATTATAATGCATAACAATTACTGCAATGTTACAAGCACGCAACCGTGCGAAGCGTTTTTGCGTGAAAACAAACTTTCTGAACGTGAATAATACTTCGTAATGACCTCTTTTAATAATAAAAATAAAACAGTAGTTAGTGTTGTTAGTTATAGTACCTGTAGGTGTGCGTATATAATACTGCAAAGCTTCGTTTGAACGCCATCGCAGACATTTTATTTAATATCAAATAGTAAATGAATAAAGAATAATATTACGCTTTGAACTAAATCGATCAATCATCATATTATCGTACCTAACAGTAAAAATGTAAAATTATCTATGTATCGGTATTTAGTAAACCAATATTATATTATATACATTTTTTTTTTATTTGATCTTTAGCTCTTGCAACCGTCCCCATTAACTTTACACATTATATTTTACTAGTTTTTGGTAACAATTTGATTACAATAATATGGGGGGGAGGACTTTTTGACTTATAACTATATGTTTGCGTTTCTCTAAAATGTATTTGTCAATTTCGATGCTCCTGAGGAATGACATGACGTTTTCTGGCTGACAGTCTGGTCCGATTATTTCATTTAGGTTCGCTGGTAT